TTAAAAGATTTGAAAAGATTGCTGATTCTACTTGAAATAAAGTTAATATAGTTTGACTGTTACAACTAGGTTTTATGTCTTCATATCACTGGCTAGGCGTGAGTGGCACAGCGGTAGAATGCTCACCAACCACGCCTCATGCGGTTCGAGGTTCGATCCCGGCCGATGCACTCCTTTACCCCTCTAAGCCAGTAATAAGACTGATAAAGACAGAAGGTTGGGCATGAGGCTAGCAACCTCATCCCGTAAAAATAAATACCACTGCTACCGAAACTTCAAAGCTCTAGTTTGAAGCTCTTCGTTCCACTGGGAACATAAAGGAATAAAAAATAAATAAATAAAAATAATATTACTAAGATATATGTCTAGAACTAGTCTGTATTCAATAAATGTGTCCTGGATATGTGTTCTGCTAGGTCTAACATAATTTAGTTCGAGGGCTGATAATAAGTGATGCATCTGACTACTTAGTTAGTGTTAGTGAGTAGTATCACCGAATATCTAACAACAGGTGAGTTCTGAGTGAGTTTCAAACTAAAATTTGATGTGCAAAATTTTTACAGCTTGTAATAAAAAAACACTTTCAAATCTTGAAGTAATACAGAATTAACAACATCTGCAGAAATTTTTAAAGTTGGTTAAGATATTAAATTTATTTTCTAAGATTTAATTAGTTTGCGAATTCGGGCTCTATAAAATTTCGTAATTAAAACAAGATAATCAATGAAATTTATTTTACTTTTATAGAAAGTTTTCTCAGTCCTGAAATAATGACCGAAGTCAAAACGGCTGGGAGAATCCTTTTACGATTTAAACTAATCCACCAGTTTATGAGACCGCAAATGGATTCGGAAAGTACATCATTGGAAAGCTTACATAGATGACAGAAGAAAGAAAACACACAGAAGACCCAGTCTCTTGATGGTCGTCACGTGCATAATTAGGCGCAATTAACTGATGGTAAGGAAGGTGACAGAATCTCTGTTTAGTGACCTTAAGTAACCTTATGTCCAGCACTAACTCAGAATATCTGGAAAATTCAGATGTTAGTAGGTTGAAGTAATTAAAAAAGGTATACTTCAAATCTGCTGAGTCAACTTGAATTTAAAAGACTAATTAGTGAACAATGAATATTCTTTTGGATAAATTCCTCATTAGGTTCTACACTTACATGACAGTAACAATAATAATAATATGAATCGATCTTATCGACATGATTACATTTCAAAAGCATCAGTAAGAGAGAGATACCATGCATTATTTTAACACTAAACTGATTGAATATCAGATAAATTAGGAAAAGTAGCACAGAATTTACGAATTTATTGGTTCGATAGAAGGCCAGGGCAGTGGCTTTGAATGCACCTGCTTCTTTTGCACACAGAGCTCCAGCTGTGGGTTCCCATGGCCTCTACAGTTTGGAGTGTTCGGCATTTAGAAGCATTTAGTAATTTATTCAATACCCGATAGATGGCGGAGAAAGATTCTTCAATGTTAGTTTTGTGGCCTGTTTTCATGAGATGATTCAATATAGGACTGCCGCACTGTTATTTAACCATGCTGGTAAGTTCCTGGAGCAGAGGCCAGTATAAATTGCTCCACAGGAGCCATTGCGCAAAAGATGAATACAATCAATCTAATGCAACATTACCTTCCTGATCTATTACGTAAATTTGTAGGCTAATAGTGTCTGTTATTTTTTCTGTTTTTGTCATTTCCTCCGCTTAGTTTTCTGCTTTCTAACACGTAGAAATTTAAAATGATCTGAACTATACAGGCTGTGATATATACATCTTTGATAACTTAATTTTATTATCTTTCCAATTATTCCTTCATTGAAGTATGTTATTCCCATTCTGTAAAACTATTAGAATTTCAGATTGTCTGCAGCTCACGAGAACCACTAAAATAAACTAACGTTACTTTATACTGCAGATATAGTCGCTCCTTCTCTACCAAATAGGAATTTAGATTTTCAATTCAAAACAAACACCCATCTAGCCATAAAATAAGAACCAACAGTTCAGCAACGAGTTGCTTTTCACCCAATTCATACACTGAGCTGTACAATCACAATGATATAGAACTAGTTTTGTATATGTGTGTACGAAACACAAGAATAAAAGTTAATTCGAACCATTGTTTACATTATCAAAATATTTCAAAACACTGACAAATAATGAAACTGTAATTCGTGGTGGGGTGGAGGATGGAGCTTAGTAGATTTAGACTAAGGTTGTGTAATATGAGAAACCTTCAGAAAGACTGGGTATTAACGAAGGTTCAGGAAGAGAGACGAGTATCAAATTAAACTATGTAGGAGGTGAATAGAGTGAACAAAGTCTTGTTAAGAAAATGGCGTTAATAAATTTCATGCGAAAAGTGTACAAACTAGTATTAATGACAAAATATTGATAACACTTGAACATGGAATAATATCAAAATTAAATTAGTGTAAGTGAAGCCTATGTGGAATGGTCAGTTGACAGATTTCTACAGTTGGGTACTAATAAACCCCAAGTGAATCCTGATAACATCTCTTGAGACTAGGATCCTAAGTGTGTGTAGTCATGAGCCAGTAAATGAAGAGATCACTCTTTTCAGGAAGACACTATTTGAAAATGGCTACTCCCACGATTCAGAAATAAACACATAAAACCCAAAGGTAGCGATAAACCACATCTGTGTGCCAAAGAAGATACTATACATGGATGTGCCTGACACTCTAAACAAGAGAATATCAAACACCCTGAAAAGAACATTCTCCTCATCTACATTACCACCAGTACTCTCTTGCTGCCCAACATTCTCCAGTAACTTTTAAAACAGACTATCTGGTTCGACTACTTTTATGTGTATTAACCAACTCACTTGCTCCTCTGGAGTGAGATATATTTATCGTTAGACTCATGTTTTTACCTCGCATACAGAAAGGTCACAATGCACCAATAGGGAATGCTATCACTGCACATATGTTCAACACTGGCCACTCAATATACAGTAAAAGTTTATTCGAAGTTGTCTACAAAGTCGAAAGAAGCCTCCCGAAAACGGCATGCTTCCCTATACTTTGCATTGACGAAGTCATAGTAATTAGGATGGAAAGCCCCGATTTATCTACACAGCAGAAACGTCTCCACTCCATTTTTCTACCTGCCATTCCACATAGGCTTCATTTACACTGATTTACTTTTGATATAATTCCATGTTCAAATGTTATCAATATTTTGTCATTAACATTATTATTAACATCATTTTCTTAACAAGCCTTTGTTCACTCTGTTCACCTCCTACATAGTTTAATTTGATACTCGTCTCTCTTCCTGATCCTTCGTTAATATCCAGTCTTTCTGAACGTTTCTCATATTACACAACCTTAGTCTAAATCTACTAAGCTCCACCCCCCACCCCATCACGAATTACAATTTGATTATTCGTCAGTGTTTTGAAATATTTTGATAATGTAAACAATGGTCCGAATTAACTTTTATTCTTGTGTTTTGTACACACATATACAAAACTAGTTCTGTATGATTGTGATTGTACAGCTGAGTGTATGAATTGGGTGAAAAGCGACTCCTCACTGAACTGTTGGTTCTTATTTAAACTTGTTGAAATTGTAATTTTTATTCGCCCACTGATTAATCTTATTTTTATCACATTCAATCTCTGTTGACATGACAAACCCTAGTATTAACAGTCTGGTTGACATAATGTCACTGGGTGTTCTGCCAGAGGCATTATGCAGGATGGTTTCTGGTTTCTAGTCACATTACGAACACCATCACTAACCAAATGCTCTGGTTCATCCAGCTAACCATTCACAAATACAAGAAATGTACCGATCTGCATGCTATTGAAATCCACAGCTGAACAACTGCGTTCATGTGATAAACATTAGTTTGTAGTAAAGCGACGTAACTCAGTCAAGTGCCCAGAGTGCCAGCATCAACCTACACAAGTCTTTTAACGTATACAAATATAACTTAATGAAATGTTTTCACCCATAACTGTGACCGGAAAAAAGCTGTAAACTGATGCATCTTCCTGATTCAGTTTTACAGTGAAATGACTATGACTTGAAATTGTCGGTGGTATAGTCTCAAACTAATACAAGTAGTATAAGTTCAAACTGCTCAAGCAGCATGAATCACTTCAACTTTTTACAACACTACTGAATGGGAAAACCAATCACACCCAGTCATGTACAACTCCATGTTTAACAGTGAAACATTTCCATAGATTGACAATAAACCTCCAGTCTACACTTTAATTTCTATTTCAGTCACCCTAAGTTGTGATGACTGAAGATGAAACATAAGTTTGGGTCACATGCGACTCAGGATTACAAGCCTACAGACTAATAGCTAAGGAAAGTACCACCAAGAGATTGATTAAATCTAGCTCCAAACCTAGTCATCGTCTCACCACAGTCAACACAAATATCCTAGTTAGTTTCAGAGTCAATAAAATCTAAGTAGTGTCATGATGAAATACTTCCTAATGGTACAGCAGTAAAAAAAACAAATTTATTTTATTTTGATTATAGCTTGATTCCACACCGTATTTTTGGTACAAGTATGTAATTTTCAGCGTGTGATGTAGGTAGCCCAAGTTTTTCAGGCCGACCATAGGTATCAGGTGTGCATCGGCAGTGGGTCGACCCCCAGACCATGTTCATGGTCAGCGAGAGTCCTAACCACTGTGCTACCGACATGCAGTAATCATATTGTGTTAATAATTATGTCAATATGTTGCAGTAAATTACAGGCGGGTAGTGAGGTTGCATAAAGCAAGTTAAGGAGTTGTGCCAATGATTTGATATGATTATGAGTCATAAACTGCGCCTAGAATGTTATTTAGTTAGCAATACTGTATAATCATTGTGTGTTGCGTCAAATAAACCTATCTAACATAAAACTGTACTCTACTAGATTGTACAAATTCCACTCCTACATAAAAATAAAGTTAGCGAATGAAAAAGACATCAGTGAACTCACTTGTTCCATAACAGTTAATCGGTAGCTATCAGATAAATGTGATGGTTGAATTTGAAATTCAACACTGAAATTTAACAACATTCTATATATCGGTGAAATTGCAGTATTTGATGTATTCCATAATAAATCACCTTTAGGTAAACGATTTACAATAACACTGAATTTTAAATTCGGTTGAATTTCTAAGGCTTTCGCACGAAACTGATCCATAACAGTCTTACTAAACCATGGTAGTGGTTGAGATTGTGAAGCAATATTGAAACGTTTCATTGCATCGGTAAATAGACGTTTTGATTCTTGTGACTGTGGACAAATGGTTATCCCAGGGACTTGATCATATACTGTATGTCGACCAGAATAATCTAACTGAAATACTGTCTGATGTTTTAGATATTGCATAACAACTAGACTGATACAAACGCATAGACCGATAAACATTATTGCGGTTACAGTAGCCCATAGTAAACGTAATGAACGTGACGGTGCATTGGCTATTTTAGCTAATGGTACCAGAGAACTTTGTGAAAATACACTGGAAAAACATTTCATTTCTGTGCGGGGAATTTAGGATTATTAATTTTTTGTAACATTCAAATTTATAAATGTGTATTTATATGTATACTAATTATTTGTTTTTAGGTAAAATTGGCTTGGATTAGCATGCTGAGTGAATCATCCAATAATCATTTAGTATTTTATTGGTTAACCTCAATCAACCAATCATGATTGACGTGTGGGTGTTAGAGTGATTTTTTCCTTGAACTTGTCACAAACACTCACTGAACTCATAATAACCCGATTTTATCAGACATATCACGATTTCTAACATAATTCATTATGACAATATTAATTTCAGTAACGGCTACAATTATCTTCAAATAATTCTGTTTGCCATAGGCCATTATATAGGTGTGTGTCAGTGTATAACAGACTACAGTCAACATTGGTTTGGTATTTTTGAAGTTTTGTTGCTGTCCCCCAGCTAAAGATTTTATTCATTCTTGATGGTTTAACTGCAGCTTTGAAAGTGCTGTATACAATTAGATAAACTTAAAACTATTCACTCACATATCAGCGAAGAAAATTTTTCTCCAAATGAGCATATACGGTAAATTGTCAACATGGTGTTCAGTAAGTTAAAATTATTATTGTGCTAACGTTTGATTCCAAGTGGAACAAAGAAGCACATCTCCATTCCACACAGTACCATCCTATCCCTTCCACCTGGCTCGACAACTGCTCATAAATTTTAGATTCATCCCTATATTTATCTCCACCACGTCACACTTCGACATCTACGCTATCGTCTTCCATTCAGCCTAAACAACACAACTTTTTTGGTATGTGGTGTCACTAAGTAGTAAACTCAAATTATGTCCAATAGTATTCATTCCCTTCTGCATACTACTTAGGCAGTTAGTTTTTGACCGGTCTATTATTTTTCGCTTATCTTGCGTATACACTTTCCTAAGACTAAGATAAAGTCTGTCTAATTTCTCCTGTTTCCATTTGCTGAAAACCACGTCCCTTGTGGATATCCTCGTGCTCATACACGCTACCTTCACTCTCTGTGTCATCAGATGCACAAAAGTCTCTAAGTAAAACTCACTTCCAATAAATTCCACTGACAGTGTCTTCCAACATGACATCAACACTCTTCTGATGCCCTCTGCTCCCAGTATAAATAACATTCATATCGTCCACTAGAATTTCGACGACACTAACTGGCTACAGCACTAACCATCACCGTTAACAGTCACTTGTCACCAGAAGTCATTCTTCTTTCTCCTCTCCTCCTTATCCTTCTCCTTCTCCGTCTTCGTCTTCTTCTCACACAGGCTCGTGTTGTTTGTAGTAGCATAGCAATGCACACATGAAACTCTCCTTCATTTTGAATTAGAACTCGCTATCACTATTCTCGACGAGATTGGTTCTCATTGCATCACCGCCTGAAAAGTTGTTTGGAACAGACATCATGATGACTACACCTTCTGGATTCCCACTGTTGTCGTCTGGATGGTTAGGGGAAACTGACTGACTCTTTAGTTAAGAGTTTTGACAGTTCACTTCTATTCCATCTACTCTCACGAATTCCTAACACTTCCTTACCATATCTTATCATTTCTCATGGAGTTTGAGCAACCTTGTCAACTTGAAACATGGTGAGTACATTCCATGTCCCACGCTTTCCCTTGCTTACATCGGACGAAGACGCATCGTCTGACTGACTTTTCGAAGTCTTTCATCAGCCAGCGCCGTTCTATCTCTACGATTCCATCACAGAATGAGTTCGTTTTTAGTATTTTTCTGTGATTTCAATTTATTGCAGCGATCAGATTCATTTTCCAGCTTGGTACTGGCTAGAAGACTAGTATAACAGTAAACTAGGCGAGGTCTATTGTCAAGGTGAAAGCTTTAGTGAATAAAGTAACGTTTATGTACAAGAACCAAAAGAACAGATAGAGTTTCTTTATCGCCGTAATTTTCCGTTCTTTTGGTTTTTACACATAAAAGGTACTGATGCACTGAAGTTTTTGCTAAATCCCTGGGATAACTTAGCGAAGGTCAGGGAAATATGATAACAAACCATTTAAATCTGAGCAGAGTATTCTTCTGCATTTTCTTTCACCTAGTACAGATGTATCTGCGGCAGTCGAGTTAACAGACTCTTATTAATGTGACAGGTGGTGACTGTAGGTGAAATGAAAATTTAGGCTGCGACAGGATTCTAACCAGTGGTCTCTGAATGACTGGTCTGGTACTTTATCAGGTGATCTACGATACCCCATAGGCGATTCGGAAGTGTACAGTCCGAATCCTGCCCAATTCTCATTTGACTTTTAATCACCACCCCCAATTATACAGATGTATTAAAACAAGATTTTGAGCGAACAATTGTTTTCGATAACTTCTTCCTCAGGCTCTACAGTTATAAATCCATGAATAATAGAGTACATATAGCCAATAAAGGCAAATGAAAATAATATCAGAAACTGTATTGGGGTGCATGTGTAAGTTGAGATGATAGTCCATTAGTTAACATAATCAATCAAATGTGTATAGGGTGTATAGTCAGAAAAATGCGATGAAGTGTGAATGAACAATTGGGTGATATAGTGCTGTTTTATAGTCAACAGAATACAAGTGTCATTGGGGTGAGAGAAATGCGATAGACACAAAATACATACAAACACACATTAACAAAGGGGACACTGAATGTGAGGGCTGACCGGTAATGTCTAATGATAAAATAAAGAAGCTAAATTGTAATAAGATGTTACAGAGTTGGTAGGCTTAGTGTAAAATCACAAAGGTTGACAAAATTAAGGGTAACAATGAGATGAAATAAACCCCTTTGTTAATGTGTGTTTGTATGTATTTTGTGTCTATCGCATTTCTCTCACCCCAATGACACTTGTATTCTGTTGACTATAAAACAGCACTATATCACCCAATTGTTCATTCACACTTCATCGCATTTTTCTGACTATACACCCTATACACATTTGATTGATTATGTTAACTAATGGACTATCATCTCAACTTACACATGCACCCCAATACAGTTTCTGATATTATTTTCATTTGCCTTTATTGGCTATATATACTCTATTATTCATGGATTTATAACTGTAGAGCCTGAAGAAGAAGTTATCGAAAACAATTGTTCGCTCAAAATGTTGTTTTGATTTCAATATGGAGATGTATTAAACACAAAATTTCTTCAGCATTCAATCTCCTTACTACTATCACCTCTAGTACAACTATAATACCTAACAGACTTAGACTGCAGTTGTTTTTTTAAAAACCATATGTCATTACATGAATACGGACAGTCTAGATATGCGGTCGTTAAACGTGATATTATTGCACAGATAACTGGTTTGTAGGATGTAAAGTGTTTACTTAAAACGCTGTTTGCCAACTGTTATTTTCTATATATAAATAGTTTGTTCGCTTCAGCATAATAGTATAGTGAAGTCACGTACTCTTAGACTGACTTGTCAATTTGAATTTGAGAATAAACAAATTAATAAACATCAAATAGAATTTAACAAACTTATTGAAATTCTTTATAGCATACGTGAGATATAACTCATTGATTAGAGGCCAGACGTGCATTTGCGTTCTGTCTCCCATGTTAAGTGGCATAATGTGATAAGTAATACTGAGGTAAGGCACAGACTGTTAGACAAGGAGGGAAAATCTGCCTAAGAAGTTCTGCAGTTGGATCGACTGAGATGACTAGGAGATATGTTGTGCATGCCAAGCAGTTGTCTTTCTCGTTAAACAATATTAGGTCTCACAGGATTAAGATGGAGAAGAGTTGCGAGTGGACAAGCTAAATGTGGCATCAAGCCATGAAGTATTTGAGTAGTGCCTTAACTTTGGTTGTCATCGAAACACTAAGAACCAATGACTGGCTGATAACAGATCATTGAGAAGATGAATTTAAAACTAACTTGGCTTCACTATCTCCTTGAGTGAATTTCAATACAGTCAAACACTACTGATGAATTTCAGATGATGACATAAATTCATGTGAAATCACTTTACACAGATTACTGATAAGACAGCAATTGTAACAAGTGACCTGATGGATATTAGCTAACACAGACATTTAGAAAACGTTAGTAGACCCATCTAGGAATTGTCAGTGGGATACACCTGCCTCCGAGTGAGTGATGGTGTTTCCATTGAGGCCGGGACTTGATAATTGTACGTCAAAGTATGGTCGCATTTTGTACGACTGGAATCTAATAATGATTACTAGAAAGTCTGATATTAAAAGCATCATAAAAACATCCTAAGGAAGATCAAAAATCCAAGCGGAGATAAATCGTTTCAGGTCAGTTTAACTAAAAAAATTATAGAGCTCACGAATAACACATCACATTTATTCAGTGTTTTTGAGTTTTAAAAATACAGTATTGAAGCATGGTAAGGCGGTTATTCTGAATTTTCTACTGATTGAATCACCATATTGAATCGAAATACTTGCTTTCCTTCAATATTAGTGTGATAACAAAAATAATTCCAACAAGTTACAGCAGATTTTACTTCTGCAAGAGGTGGCTCACGTGTCCAGTTACTCTGGCGGATAACTCTGTGGCATTCGGATCGATGTGTGCTGATTTGAGTGCCAGTGGGAAACTCATTACTCACTGGGAGTGTAAGTGCAGTCAGTTAACAAGTTCCAAATAGAATGAAGTATGTCCTTCTACTTCGACTGTCACATTTCGTCTTGCCATACTGTTCTGTGTGACTGTATGCAATGTGTTGCACAAAAGGAAATAAAACATATTAGACACAATTGGTTAGTGAATAGTTTCTTTAATGGATCTACCCAGAGGAATACATGATATTAAGAAATTCTAGAACAAATAAGACGACCACTATTTGTGATTCTGTCAGTAACAAGAAAAAATAACTCAACGATAAGGCAACTAATAGTTAAGAGATGGAAAGATTCACACTGTTGCCATATATGGACGAAGCTTTGAAAAATGAAGTTTGAGTTCTTCACAGATTTAACCTGTCCGAAGTCCCAAAAATGTGAGTAGGCAGGAAGTCGGGGTAACGAATTCACCACGAAATGTCAAACTTCTGCTCTTGAACCT